ATAAAGGCAGGCAACGAGTTCACCACCATCTTTTCCTCAAAAAAAAACACATTAGTTAAAGTGGTCAGAAATTACCTCAGATCGCACCACAGAGCATCTAGAATCCAGAAAAAATGTCGGGCCCTTAAGCGGGCCCCGAACCCCACAGCATAATTTTGTTGACCCACTTTTTGGGGGACCAAATTTTTTTTGGCCCCCCCCAAAAAAAATTGTGTTTTTGATTCGTTTTGGGGGACATATTCTTTTATCAGAACTGATGCGAGCGCGACGCCCTTTAACACGGCGTGGGGTTCGGGTCCCGCTTACTGGGCTTACTTCTACTCAGAATATTCTTCTGGGGTTTTCCTCCCACGCTTAAAACTGTAATTTCTTCGCATTGTCTTCTCTTTGCTGGGCCCAGTGGGGGACCAGTGGATTCCATTCTGCTACCCAGTTAAAATAAGAATTTAATAAATAAACTAACACAGAAGTCATTTGACATATTGATGCAGCATCTGCAGACATATTGACATGTTTTTTGGTCAGATTTTATAAATGTTATTTCTACTTCTAGCATACTACTGTTAACTTGAATCTCTGGAAGCAGCACGTGAGTTGAGAGTCTCTCAATAACAATGGTGTTTTTTTGAGTTTGTGCAGAAAAAAAGCATACCTGTTACAATCACGTGCACAGCACACGTACACAGTCATGACAATGATTTTTATAGGCCAAGTGAAAAAAGAAACTAGTGTCTCGTCCCTGTCGGCCCGCTTCTTTCTTTTTTTCACTGCCCTTTTTGTTCTTTTCTTTTTTAGTGATTTACACCTTTACAACATATTTTCTTTTGCAAATTTTGTCCAAATAGTTTCTTTAATTGTTTACAACATTTTGAACAATTAATCCGCCCTTCGCATTGTGGGAAAAGGGAGATGCCTCCTTCATTTTTCAAAAAGCCCAATTAATCGAGAAACTACTTTTTTTTAAAGGCCGGTCGGCCTTGGCATTTGTAGTAGCAACAATCCCTATTGAAATTTCATTCAACCAGACATTGAATTTGAATAAAAAAAAAACAATTTTTGTTTGCATTTGGGCGTTGGCTGGCCTGCATATTATTGCACCGTATCTTATATGCGCAGCACAATCCAGGCCACACCATACCAGTGGGGCTAGGCGTTAGCATAAGTTCTGAACTATATAGGCTGTTCCTTGTTCGGTTGAAGGCTGGTAAGTTGTACGTATAACTTTATTCCTCCATGATGTGTAGAATCCAAGTTCAGTCAGTCTTTACAAATGATACAAAGCATAACAGCTGCTGGTATGATACGCATGTACTCATTGTAGACAGTAAACGGTAATTCTCAAAAAAAAAAATTCTTCTTCTCTTTTTGAAATGAGCCTAACACTGTCAACTTTCTACTTATTTTACCTTTTTTCCCAACTGAATTGTTTTAGATTAGTATGTGTTGTGTGTGTGTGTTGAGCGCAATCAATGCATCTGCGCTATCACTGGCATGGTTGGTCTATCAGGAAATCTAAAAAAATACTTCCCTTTTTCAAAACGTTCCTCAAGAGCCACGAATTGAAAAGAAACATTGATCGACTAATGGCATCGCAATCAACCGATGGCAGCAGGCAGGGGCGTCAATCGCTTCTCAAAAGTGGGGGGGGGGGGGGGGGACACAAGGGCGGATTCAGGGGGGGGGGGGGCAAAGGGGGCCACTCCCCCCAAAAAAACGAAACCAATTTGTGTTTATGTGACGTCGCAATAAAGGCAGGCAATGAGTACACCACCATCTTTTCCTAAAAAAAAATTGGTTAAAGTGGTCAGAAATTACCTCAGATCGCACCACAGAGCATCTAGAATCAAAAAAAAATATGTCGGGGCCCTTAAAGCGGGCCCCGAACCCCACGGTATAATTTTGTTGACCCACTTTTTGGCCCCCCCCCCAAAAAAAAATTGTGTTTTTGATTCGCCCTTGGGGGACATATACTTTTATCAGAACTGATGCGAGCGCGAAGCCCTTACGGCGTTGGGTTCGGGGCCCGCTTACTGGGCCCCGAAAAAAAATGGATTCTAGATGCTCTGTGGTGTGATCTGAGGCAATTTCTTACCACTTTCTCCCATTGTTTAACTTATATTTTCTTAGCAAAAGATAATTATTTGAACATCGTTTTCGAGGTTGGAGTCATTGAATCAGCTACCGGTATTCTGAGCTATAGGCATGACATTTGTGGTTCAGACTTCGGAGCCCGCTTAAGGGCCCCAAAAAAATTGATTCCAGATGCTCTAATTTCTGACCACTTTAACCAATATTTTCTTAGCAAAAGATAATAATTTAAACATAATTTTAGAGGTTTTCTCAGCTAAAGGCATAGGGTCCAGGGCCCGCTTAAGGGCCACGAAAAATGTTGGATTGTAAATGCTCTGCGGTTCAATCTGAGGCAATTTCTGACCACTTTAACCAATAATTTTCTTAGCAAAAGATGATAATTTAAACATAATTTTCGAGGTTTTCTAAGCTAAATTAGGCATAGGGTTTGGGACCCGCTTAAAGGGCCCTGAAAAAAATTGGATTCTAAATGCTCTGTGGTGCGATCTGAGGCAATTTTTGACCACTTTAACCAATATTTTGTAAGCAAAAGATACATTGTAGTACATAATAGGGCCCTGTAAATGAGACACGAGTTCAAAAATCTGGGGGGGGGGGACAATTGATATTATGTCCCCCACCCTTCAAAAAGTGGGGGGGGGGGGAGGAGGAGACATGTCCCCCCCCCCAGGGTTGACGCCCATGGCAGCAGGATCAACTGATGTCGGCATCATCAACTGACATAATCAACTGATCAGTGTAGTGCGATTGCCGATTGTGAATATCCACACATTCCATGATGAATAATCTCTTACAAGTGTACATACATGCACTGTCTGGCTGTTAATGTTACGTACGATGTTTGTTTTTTGCAGGTATAGTGGGCCAGGACCTCATAATCTAGACAGGGTACCAGACCAAGATGGCTACCTTATCATCAATGGAGATGGAGCAGTAATGGTGGTGAGTTTACCAGGAAGAGACAAAATGATTTATGAGAACAGAGGGCCTTAAGGTCATGTTTTCCCTTGCAACAACTATTCTTTTCCTCTAAAACATTAATACTAAAGTACTCTATATTGCACAATTAATGTTTTTCATATTTTGATGAAATTGTTGAAACAAAATTTATGATAAGCTTTTGGCCAATGTTTGTTCCAAATTTCGCTTGACAAACGAGTAACTGCTTGAAACCCATTTTCTGTTGTGAGAATGAAGTGAGTTAGTTTTCATAATACTTTGATTAGGAAAAAAAAAACTTTCAAACACCCATTTGTGATTTGAAGTTGGAATATTGTTTGTTTGATTATTTATTTGTTTGATTTTTTGCAGTCTTCTGGTGATTTGGGCAATGCATAGTAGCTGGTATCGCGCAAATGAAATCCAGACAAACCGGAACAATTCAAGAGATTACCAGGTAGACTATTTGTGCTATTAAAAGATATTTTGTTTTTAAAAGATGCTACTTGCACATACTTAGTCCAATTTTCTTTGGTAGGAAAGTTAATTTTGTCAATTTTATCAAGCTTCTGTAGGGCATTTTTGTGTAGGATTTGTTCCCTGTTTTAATTACCATTTTTTTTGTCTCATAATGTCATAACTTTTAAAAGTCATGTTATGTGCTTTATGAAAATGTCATCATCATCATCATTATCTTTAGTGGGGAGGGGGTATTTTTTTCACGAGTACCCTTGTGAAGGCTCGTGAAAACCTTGAGGGCACTCGTGAAAAAAAGGGAGTTTGTTTTCACGAGGGCCTTTTTTCACGTGGCCCTTTTTTAATTGGCGCATGAAAAGCGCCACCTATTGCCCGATCACTCCAATTGTGTCGTGTATGGCCCTCTACACCCCCGCCCCCCTGATTCAAACTTTCAACACGGATATGGCGAGCTTCCCTTTTCACGTCTAACACCCCCCCCCCCAATCAAAATGACCCTGCTACATCACTGAATTATGTTTACTTTCACATTTCGTTTGTATTTCAGTTGTTTTTTTACGACTTCGTGAATGTAGCGGTCATTTCCAGCAGCACGGTTTATGTGAGTAAACGGCGCCACAACCAGAGGGAGCCTTATTTGGCATAGTGCAGTTCAACCATACCATCTTAGATAGTACCTGTTGATAGTATACTAAGGTATCTAAAGATTCATTTTGTACTACGAACAGGTCTAAAAACATCATCTTATTATTCTCATTTGTCAGTGATGAAAGTTTCTTACATGTTTTAGTACTTGACAAACTGTTGAGTTACAGCTTTTTGAGTTACTGCTATTTGTAAAACAAAATTCAATTCCCAAGGCACTTTTGTGAATCGGAGTGAATCACAGCGTGCTAAGTTGCCCGTCTGTACAATCATCTGGACTTAATCTGTTGGTAGTATAAATATTTGTTGGTAGTATAAACAGCCCGGTAAGACAGTGACATTGCATCATTTGGCCATACCGGTACTAGCTTCATCATACATCTTGATGAGATCAAGCTAAGTTTAGAAGTCATATAAGTTGGGAAAGCCATACTGTCAAAAACTGTCAAAAGGTTTATATTGTGCAAATCACTTTAGCAAATAAGATCAACATCTCATTGCGCCATGGCATCATTTAACCCTGGTACCAGTCAACATGGGGGAAATAAATGCAAAAAGTGTAACAAATCTGACAACCCACTGATCCCCTCCTTTATACCCGGTCAAGATGAGCTATGCTCTCGGTGCGCGCTTGTGACACAAATCAAGAAGCTCGATGAGGTAGAGGAGCTGGATAACGAGCTAGAGGAGATTCAACAAGAGGTTGGCGCGTTGTCTTTGCAGTTGGTAGACAAATCACCAGACAAAAAAACTCTGGAGTTAGAAAAAGCACGACAAAAGGCCCGCGGTGCAATCAAATTAATGATGAGTCTTCATGTCCCAAAGCAAAATAAAGAAGAAGTTGGAAAATTTGAGCCAACTTTTGGGGATGTTCAGGTGATGGAAGCACTGGCCCCAGATGTTTGTCTGAGACTTCGGAAGGGTTCACTCCGTCAATTTCACTCAATACTGCACCCTGTCAATAACATGGTGGATGGGAAAATGGAATTTAAAGGGACACTCTTTGAAGTATTTGACTCCAAACAAACAAATATGAATGAGTACAATGACCAAAACAAACGGGCGAGAAAGTTGGTAGAAGAAATGACAAGATGCAACTCCAAGAAGATATTCCTATTGGATGGTCATGGCAGGATGCTCCTGTCGATCATACATGCGATGATTGAGCAAGGCTTAGATCCAGACTCATATGAGTTTGTAGTAGTTGACAATGTCAAGGAGTGTCATTGCTTTCATGAGCATTTGTTCCCTCAGTCAGTGACATGCGAATGCAAAGACATATTGGAAATTGGGCTGGGGAAAACTGACATGCTTTACATGAACTTCTGTAGTATACCATCAAGGGTCGAAAATATCCTCTTCAATAAAGAAGAAGTTCTGAAGTGGGTGTGGGAACGCATGAAAACTATGAAATGTGGGATAATGATATCAGCAGTGATCCGTGATACGCGGACAGAGGTCGACCAAAGGGACAGGATATTTACAGCTATTGGCCCAAGTAAAGGAATACACATAAACGATTATCACCTTCGTGCGGCGGGTTTTGAGGCGTTTCTTATAGACGAAACACTTTTTGGTGGTGAGGAAGTGTCTGCGCGTAAACACTTTAAGACATGGCTTATCAGACCTGAAAACTGTGTAGTAAGAAATGACCCAAACATTCTACGAACCACGTTTGGAAAGAATGAGATAAACTGGGATTACAGACTTGAATTGGTTCCTGGTGTTTGTGTAAGATGGGACCAAAATCCTGATCAAAAATATCGTATTACAGAGCGAACAGCACTTAGGGTACGCCTAGTGGAACATCCCGGCAATGGTCCGAGTAAAGGGCGCCAAAGAGATATCAGGCATGTTAACGTATGGACAGATCCATATGAACTGAAGCTAAAGCCTGTTCTCACCCGGTTCCCCTTCAACTCTTAAATGAGCAAAACAATTATACACCGCGCTCACGCGCTGTCGAAATGAGCACTTGGACTGGTGTTCATATTTAACATGTCTAAAGGCAATAATGTATCAACCTGTATTATCACGTGCGCGCACGCCAATGTATTTACACTTTTGTCATGCCAAAACTGTTGGGCAAACTACGTCCGCAATGATTACTCACGGTTGTATAAATGTTGAGTGCATGCACTGTGAATTTCAAGACCAATATTGATTTCCGAAAGACCAATATTGATTTCGCCGTTAGTATAGTAGTCGATGTGTTGTAAATTTTGAAACAGTGAATGCACTGAGCGGGTATTCGCAAGAAATGTCTTCCCCGTGAGTATGTTCTTCATAAGTTTTTTAAGTTGATTTTTGTAGCTGTTTATAATTTCATTTATGCATTCATTTCTGGGGGTGTGCTATTTGAGGTAATAATACTGGCCTTGCTCCAAGTAGGCCTACATTGAGGCCGCCCCCCCCCCAAAAAAAAAACCAACATGGAAACCAATTTTTGGTTTGTGACGTCTCAATAAAGGCAGGCACTGCTTACACCACTATCTCTGCCTTAAAAAGAAATTGGTTAAAGTGATCAGAAATAGCCTCAGATCGCGCCACAGAGCATCTAGAATCCAAAAAAATGGATCCGCCCTTGATAAACATGCAGGTTGGCCTTTATCATACGAGTCAAAAAAAAACGAAAAACATTTACTTTCAGTGCCCCCTTGAAAAAAATGTGTGCACCCCCAGGTGTCCCCAGACGTTTCACCCCAGTTACACCCCTGCTATTGAAGGACCTGACGTGGAAAATTGACCCAGGGATACAGTCTGTAATCAAGACAACACGTCTATGATAAACGCAATACTAGTATTCAACAAACACAGCCAGTATAAGTTGTAATCAATACGGCGCATAATGGGCGTGTGCATTTTTAAGCACTCATTTACCAACCTCGTCCCCAGTGCTTACTTTATTTCCAACCTCGTTTCCAATAGGATAGGAAACTTTCTTCCTGTATCCTGATTCGATACCACAATTTGCTAGTAATGGATTTTTATCGTGTACTTGTTATTCAAAACGTGCAGTACGTGTTTTCGCGATCATTCGTCCACACCTTCTTTAAAATATTCATTTCCTTTCCAATTTGTTCATATTAATATGAAATGTGATATTGCATGTTGTCTCGTTAAGATCGTAACAGGTTTTTTTTAAATTAAAATAAAATCGTATTTTGGCGTAACTCATGCCATGCTCGCGCTGCGACGAATGGATTCTGTTTTTACCCCAGACACCGCATACAAAAACAAATGCAAATGTAACGCACAGGCAGGGACCACACTATTCCTCATTTGCACATGCAAATGATCCAATACCAGGATGAGAGAGCAGGTAGTGGTGGGCGCGTACAGCTCGACACCTTGCTCATTTACCGATTGGGTGTTTGAATTTGTGGCATATCAGTTTTGATAACGCACCTTTAAAGAATACATAACCAGATATACAAACAGCCTTTAAAAATGTCGCTCTCTCCATTAGATTGGTGCAGAAACATTTCCTTGCGCCCAGCAGCCTTCATTGCATACAGTGAGTTAGCAAGCACTCAAAACAATATACCTGGATGACTTGACCATGATTACCTCTGTAGTCTGATGATGGCCATAAAATGCCATCTTCTGTTCATACATGCGAGTCCATTCTAGTTAATGGTCATCCCTCACATCACAACAGAACATACTTGTTTTGGGTTAATAACAGATGAACTTGACAATCTTGATAAGGATTAAAATGAAGAACCTGAAATGTCATTACAACATATGGAACTGCCGAAGGTGTAAGTGACTTGGGCACATACATGTACGTTATACATCTACATGTATGTGCTTAACAATGTAAATAGGTGATGCTTTGGGTTGCTTGCCTTATACGTAGTTGATTTGAGGCGTAAATACTCTCTTCCCCTTTGTAGAATTTGTGACCTGACCATTACGTGGTCAAGATAGCTTCTTTTAAATGTAAAGTACCTGTTTTAATAATAATAATAATAGTGGATATTTATAAAGCGCACGTATCCACCAGGACTGGTGCTCAAGGCGCTACATCATTATTACCCCTGCTCATTGGGCACATGAAACATTCCCTGTTTTCTACAGCTTTCATTGTAATTGTTCATGAAAACGTACATGTAGGTCTTATACTCTTTACAAAATGTAATCAAGATACGTTCTTATAAATGTAAAGTACCAGTTTTCTACGGCTTTCATTGTAACTTGCTAATGAAAACGTACATGTAGGTCTCATATACTTAATGTAATCTAGATACGTGCTTATCAATGTATAGTACCGGTTTTCTACGGCTTTCATTGTAATTGTTCATGAAAACGTACCTGTAGGTCTTATACTCTTTACAAAATGTAATCAAGATACGTTCTTATCAATGTAAAGTACCGGTTTTCTACGGCTTTCATTGTAATTGTTCATGAAAACGTACCTGTAGGTCTTATACTCTTTACAAAATGTAATCAAGATACGTTCTTATAAATGTAAAGTACCAGTTTTCTACGGCTTTCATTGTAACTTGCTCATGAAAACGTACATGTATGTAAATCTTACTCTTGGTGAAATGTATAGCGCGTATATCATTTTTTAGCTGGATCAAGATACTTCTTTTAAGTGTAAAGTACCAGTTTCATTGTACATGTAATTGTTCATGAAAACGTATACATGAAGGTTTTACTCTTCATAAAATGTATATCTTTTTTTTCCCCTGGATCACTATAAGTTCTTATAAATATGAAGAACAGGTTTTCTGCGGCGTTCATTGTAATTGTTCATGGAATCTTACATGTAGTATGTCTTACTCTTTATAAAATGTAAATATTAATTTGTGTATGAATAGTAATAATGTGAAGCTTCAAAAGCAATTTCCAACACAATAACTTACACCCTCAAAGAAGAGATATTCGATCATCAACCATAGTTTTTTGCCAGTTGGAATATTCTTAAACCCAAAATTAAAAAAAATTAAAAAAAGGAAAGTTTGCCACTTTATTGTCAGATGCCCTTTTTGTTCATTGTTCCCTTCCTTTTACAAATGTTGCAGGTTAAAGCCCTTGGCATTTATAGAACACTTACTGCAAAACACTCCAGCAACCCATATCAATTGCGGCATGCAGATGTTTTAACTGGCGCACTCTGTACGCAGTTGAAGCTGGCAGTTTCGAATATCCAAATATTTGGTCAAATGCAGTTTCAAGCACTAACCCTAACGTACCTGAAATCAATCAACAACCACACCCCTGTTTTGGAGGATTTCGGCAGAATCAGGATACCTCCATATTGAAAAAGTTGAGGGATTTTGATAGATTCAGGATATGAAGCCTAGCGGTACGTGCAGGATCTTGATGGATTCAGGATACCTCCATATTGAGCAGTTGGGGGACTTTGATGGATTCAGGATCTCAACAGATTTACTCCCGCCTAACTGGTGGATTCTAATGCACTCACTGGCCACCAACATTTTTTTGCATGGCAAAATTATGGATTTCGGTGGATTGGGGGGAGTGGGACACCTCCCTCATTTTTCAAAAAGCCTAATTTATCGAGAAACTACTTTTGTTAAAAACCTATCATTTGTATTTGGGCATGGGTATAGTGGCCTACATTATTGCACTGTATTCAGGTTTTCTATACACCGCGATAGCGCAAAGCGTGATATAGGGGGATTTCCCAGTGGGAAAAATTTCACGGGATTTCCCAGTGTGAAGTCAAGTTCTCGTACAATCTCGTGCGTCGAATGTTTCTATGCAACTCCTTGGAGCCACGTTGCAAATCTTGTCCAAATAGATTCTATTAATTGTTCCCAACATTTTGAATAATTAATCCGCCTTTCGCATTGGGGAAAAAGGGAGATGCCTCCCTGACTTTTAGGAGAAATTTCCATCCGAAGATGATCACCCCTAAAAATAGTCCTGAAGCCCATCGCCATTTTGAAAAACAATGGCTACACTCCATTGCAAAAAATAGAGCGCTTTTAGGGTCCAAATTACACACAACTGCAAGCTCCCAGTCCTGTGCACGGCTTCCACCCATATTTTTTTACAAACCCTCAAGTTCATGGCCCACAATACTCTCAAATACTGAAGATTTTGAGGGCATGCAAATCGTGATTTGGCCGGCGTAGGCAATTTGGGGCCTATTTACTCGTCTGCAACCTTTGGAGCAACAAGCCCTATTGACATTTTCATTCAACCAGACATTGAATTTGAATAAAAAAAAATAAAAAAAATTTGCATTTGGGCGTTGGCTGGCCTGCATAATATTATTGCACTGTATCTGTAAGCGCAGCAATATCCAGGCCACACAAGTGGGGCTGCAGGCGTTGGCATAAGTTCTGAACTAGGCTGTTCCTTGTTCGGTTGAAGGCTGGTAAGTTGTACGTATAACTGTATTCCTCCATGATGTGTAGAATCCAAGTTCAGTCAGCCTGTTTAATACTCTACAAATGATACAAACCTGTTTTTAATAAGCTGGTATGGTCATGGCGGTCTACCTCCATCATGTCCATTGTATGCCATATGGTACACATCATAGTAGACAGTGAACGGCAATTCTCAATTTTTTTTCTTCTCTTTTAGAGATTAGCCTAACACTGTCAACTCTCTACTTATTTTACCTTTTTTTCCCACTGAATTGTTTTAGATTAGCATGTGTTGTGTGTGTGTTGGGTGCAATCAATGCATCTGCGCTATCACGTGCATGGTTGGTCTATTCTGTATAGGAAATCTAAAAAAAAAAAAATTACTTCCCCTTTTCAAAACGTTCCTGAAGAGCCACGAATTGAAGAGTAACATTGATCGACTAATGCCATCGCAATCAACCGATGGCAGCAGGATCAACTGATGTCGGCATCTATCAACCGACATACCACAACAATAAACTGATCAGTGTAGTGCGATTGCCGATTGTGAATATCCACACATTGCAACATGAATAATCTCTTATGAGTGTACATACATGCACTGTCTGGCTGTTAATGTTACGTACGATGTTGTTATTTCTTTGCATGCAGAGTGGGCCAGGACCTCATAATCTAGACAGGGTACCAGACCAAGATGGCTACCTTATCAATGGAGATGGAGCAGTAATGGTGGTGAGTTTATCAGGAAGAGACAAAATGATTTATGAGAACAGAGGACCTTAAGGTCATGTTTTTCCTTGCAACAACTATTCTTTTCCTCTAAAACATTAATACTAAAGTACTCTATATTGCAGAATTGATGTTTTTCATATTTTGATGAAATTGTTGAAACAAAATGTATAATAAGCTTTTGGCCAATGTTTGTTCCAAATTTCGCTTGACAAACAAGTAACTGCTTGAAACCCATTTTCTGTTGTGGGAATGAAGTATGTTAGTATTCATAATACTTTGATTAGGAAAAAAAACAACTTTCAAACACCCATTTGTGATTTGAAGTTGGAATATTGTTTGTTTGTTTATTTGTTTGTTTGATTTTTTGCAGTCTTCTGGTGATTTGGGCAATGCATAGTAGCTGGTATCGCGCAAATGAAATCCAGACAAACCGGAACAATTCAAGAGATTATCAGGTAGACTATTTGTGCTATTAAAAGATATTTTGTTTTTAAAAGATGCCACTTGCACATACTCAGTCCAATTTCTTTGGTAGGAAAGTTAATTTTGTCAATTTTATCAAGCTTCTGTAGTGAATTTTTGTGTAGGATTTGTTCCCCGTTTTAATTACCAATGTTTTTGTCTCATAATGTCATAACTTTTAAAAGTCATGTTATGTGCTTTATGAAAATGTCATCATCATCATCATTATCTTTAGTGGGGAGGGGGTATTTTTTTCACGAGTACCCTTGTGAATGCTCGTGAAAACCTTTAGGGCACTCGTGAAAAAAGGGAGTTTGTTTTCACGAGGGCCTTTTTTTAAGTGGCCCTTTTTTATTTGGCGCATGAAAAGCGCTACCTATTGCCCGATCACTCCAATGGTGTCGTGTATGGCCCTCTACACCCCCGCCCCTCTGATTCAAACTTTCAGCACGGATAAGGCGAGCTTCCCTTTTCACGTCTAACACCCCCCCCCCAATCAAAATGACCCTGCTACATCACTGAATTATGTTTATTTTCAAATTTCGTTTGTTTTTCAGTTGTTTTTTTACGACTTCGTGAGTGTAGCGTCCATTTCCAGCAGCAAGGTTGTGAGTAAACGGCGCCACAACCAGAGGGAGCCTCTTTTGTCATAGTGCAGTTCAACCATACCATCTTAGATAGTACCTGTTGATAGGTATCTCAAGATTCATTTTGTACTACGAACAGGCCTAAAAACATCATCTTATTATTCTCATTTGTCGGTGATGAAAGTTTCTTACATGTTTTAGTCCTCGACAAACTGTTGAGTTACAGCTTTTTGAGTTACTGCTATTTGTAAAACAAAATTCAATTCCCAAGGCACTTTTGTGAATCGGAGTGAATCACAGTGTGCTAAGTTGCCCGTCTGTTAAATCATCTGAACTTAATCTGTTTGTAGTATAAATATCTGTTGGTAGTATAAACAGCCCAGTAAGACAGTGACATTACATCATTTGGCCATACCGGTACTAGCTTCATCATACATCTTGATGAGATCAAGCTAAGTTTAGAGGTCATATAAGTTGGGAAAGCCATACTGTTAAATTGCAAAGGTTTATATTGTGCAAATCACTTTAGCAAATAAGATCAACATCCCATTGCGCCATGGCATCATCTAACCCTGGTACCAGTCAACATGGGGGAAATGAATGCAAAAAGTGTAATAAATCTGACAACCCACTGATCCCCTCTTTTATACCCGGTCAAGATGAGCTATGCTCTCGGTGCGTGCTTGTGACACAAATCGAGAAGCTCGATAAGGTAGAGGAGCTGGATAACGAGCTAGAGGAGATTCAACAAGAAGTTGGCGCATTGTCCTTGCAGTTTGAAGATAAATCACCAGACAAAAAAGCTCTGGAGTTAGAAAAAGTACGACAAAAGGCCCGCGGTGCAATCAATTTAATGATGGGTCTGCATGTCCCAAAGCAAACTGGTAAAGAGGAAGTGGGAAAATTTGAGCCAACTGTTGGGGATGTTCAGGTGATGGAAGCACTGGCCCCAGATGTTTGTCTGAGATTTCGGAAGGGTTCACTCCGCCAATTTCACTCAATACTGCACCCTGTCAATAACATGGTGGATGGGAAAATGGAATTTAAGGGGACACTCTTTGAAGTATTTGACTCCAAACAAACAAATATGAGTGAGTACAATGACCAAAACAAACGGGCGAGGAAGTTGGTAGAAGAAATGACAAGATGCAACTCCAAGAAGGTATTCCTATTGGATGGTCATGGCAGGATGCTCCTGTCGATCATACATGCGATGATTGAGCAAGGCTTAGATCCAGACTCATATGAGTTTGTAGTAGTTGATAATGACGAGGAGTGTCATTGCTTTCATGAGCATTTGTTCCCTCAGTCAGTGACATGCGAATGCAAAAATATATTGGAAATTGGGCTGGGGAAAACTGACATGCTTTACATGAACTTCTGTTCTATACCATCAAGGGTCGAAAATATCCTCTTCAATAAAGAAGAAGTTCTGAAGTGGGTGTGGGAACGCATGAAAACTATGAAATGTGGGATAATGATATCAGCAGTGATCCGTGATACGCGGACAGAGGTCGACCAAAGGGACAGGATATTTACAGCTATTGGCCCAAGTAAAGGAATACACATAAACGATTATCACCTTCGTGCGGCGGGTTTTGAGGCGTTTCTTATAGACGAACCACTTTTTGGTGGTGAGGAAGTGTCTGCGCGTAAACACTTTAAGACATGGCTTATCAGACCTGAAAACTGTGTAGCAAGACATCACCCAAACATTCTACGAACTACGTTTGGAAAGAATGAGATAAACTGGGATTACAGACTTGAATTGGTTCCTGGTGTTTGTGTAAGATGGGACCAAAATCCTGATCAAAAATATCGTATTACAGAGCGAACAGCACTTAGGGTACGCCTAGTGGAACATCCCGGCAATGGTCCGAGTAAAGGGCGCCAAAGAGATATCAGGCATGTTAACGTATGGACAGATCCATATGAACTGAAGCTAAAGCCTGTTCCCACCCGGTTCCCCTTCAACTCTTAAATGAGCAAAAAAATTATACACCGCGCTCACGCGCTGTCGAAATGAGCACTTGGACTGGTGTTCATATTTAACATGTCTAAAGGCAATAATGTATCAACCTGTATTATCACGTGCGCGCACGCCAATGTATTTACACTTTTGTCATGCCAAAACTGTTGGGCAAACTACGTCCGCAATGATTACTCACGGTTGTATAAATGTCGAGTGCATGCACTGTGAATTTCAAGACCAATATTGATTTCCGAAAGACCAATATTGATTTCGCCGTTAGTATAGTAGTCGATGTGTTGTAAATTTTGAAACAGTGAATGCACTGAGCGGGTATTCGCAAGAAATGTCTTCCCCGTGAGTATGTTCTTCGTAAGTTTTTTAAGTTGATTTTTGTAGCTGTTTATAATTTCATTTATGCATTCATTTCTGGGGGTGTGCTATTTGAGGTAATAATACTGGCCTTGCTCCAAGTAGGCCTACATTGAGGCCGCCCCCCCCCCCCAAAAAAAAACAACATGGAAACCAATTTTTGGTTTGTGACGTCTCAATAAAGGCAGGCACTGCTTACACCACTATCTCTGCCTTAAAAAGAAATTGGTTAAAGTGATCAGAAATAGCCTCAGATCGCGCCACAGAGCATCTAGAATCCAAAAAAATGGATCCGCCCTTGATAAACATGCAGGTTGGCCTTTATCATACGAGTCAAAAAAAAACGAAAAACATTTACTTTCAGTGCCCCCTTGAAAAAAATGTGTGCACCCCCAGGTGTCCCCAGACGTTTCACCCCAGTTACACCCCTGCTATTGAAGGACCTGACGTGGAAAATTGACCCAGGGATACAGTCTGTAATCAAGACAACACGTCTATGATAAACGCAATACTAGTATTCAACAAACACAGCCAGTATAAGTTGTAATCAATACGGCGCATAATGGGCGTGTGCATTTTTAAGCACTCATTTACCAACCTCGTCCCCAGTGCTTACTTTATTTCCAACCTCGTTTCCAATAGGATAGGAAACTTTCTTCCTGTATCCTGATTCGATACCACAATTTGCTAGTAATGGATTTTTATCGTGTACTTGTTATTCAAAACGTGCAGTACGTGTTTTCGCGATCATTCGTCCACACCTTCTTTAAAATATTCATTTCCTTTCCAATTTGTTCATATTAATATGAAATGTGATATTGCATGTTGTCTCGTTAAGATCGTAACAGGTTTTTTTTAATTAAAATAAAATCGTATTTTGGCGTAACTCATGCCATGCTCGCGCTGCGACGAATGGATTCTGTTTTTACCCCAGACACCGCATACAAAAACAAATGCAAATGTAACGCACAGGCAGGGACCACACTATTCCTCATTTGCACATGCAAATGATCCAATACCAGGATGAGAGAGCAGGTAGTGGTGGGCGCGTACAGCTCGACACCTTGCTCATTTACCGATTGGGTGTTTGAATTTGTGGCATATCAGTTTTGATAACGCACCTTTAAAGAATACATAACCAGATATACAAACAGCCTTTAAAAATGTCGCTCTCTCCATTAGATTGGTGCAGAAACATTTCCTTGCGCCCAGCAGCCTTCATTGCATACAGTGAGTTAGCAAGCACTCAAAACAATATACCTGGATGACTTGACCATGATTACCTCTGTAGTCTGATGATGGCCATAAAATGCCATCTTCTGTTCATACATGCGAGTCCATTCTAGTTAATGGTCATCCCTCACATCACAACAGAACATACTTGTTTTCGGGTTAATAACAGATGAACTTGACAATCTTGATAAGGATTAAAATGAAGAACCTGAAATGTCATTACAACATATGGAACTGCCGAAGGTGTAAGTGACTTGGGCACATACATGTACGTTATACATCTACATGTATGTGCTTAACAATGTAAATAGGTGATGCTTTGGGTTGCTTGCCTTATACGTAGTTGATTTGAGGCGTAAATACTCTCTTCCCCTTTGTAGAATTTGTGACCTGACCATTACGTGGTCAAGATAGCTTCTTATAAATGTAAAGTACCTGTTTTAATAATAATAATAATAGTGGATATTTATAAAGCGCACGTATCCACCAGGACTGGTGCTCAAGGCGCTACATCATTATTACCCCTGCTCATTGGGCACATGAAACATTCCCTGTTTTCTACAGCTTTCATTGTAATTGTTCATGAAAACGTACATGTAGGTCTTATACTCTTTACAAAATGTAATCAAGATACGTTCTTATAAATGTAAAGTACCAGTTTTCTACGGCTTTCATTGTAACTTGCTAATGAAAACGTACATGTAGGTCTTATATACTTAATGTAATCTAGATACGTGCTTATCAATGTATAGTACCGGTTTTCTACGGCTTTCATTGTAATTGTTCATGAAAACGTACCTGTAGGTCTTATACTCTTTACAAAATGTAATCAAGATACGTTCTTATCAATGTAAAGTACCGGTTTTCTACGGCTTTCATTGTAATTGTTCATGAAAACGTACCTGTAGGTCTTATACTCTTTACAAAATGTAATCAAGATACGTTCTTATCAATGTAAAGTACCGGTTTTCTACGGCTTTCATTGTAACTTGCTCATGAAAACGTACATGTATGTAAATCTTACTCTTGGTGAAATGTATAGCGCGTATATCATTTTTTAGCTGGATCAAGATACTTCTTTTAAGTGTAAAGTACCAGTTTCATTGTACATGTAATTGTTCATGAAAACGTACATGAAGGTTTTACTCTTCATAAAATGTATATCTTTTTTTCCCTGGATCACTATAAGTTCTTATAAATATGAAGAACAGGTTTTCTGCGGCGTTCATTGTAATTGTTCATGGAATCTTACATGTAGTATGTCTTACTCTTTATAAAATGAAACTACTTTTTTTAAAGGCCGGTCGGGCTTGGCATTATTAGGAGCAACAAGCCTATTCAACCAGTCATTGAATATGAAAAAAAAACCTATCATTTGTATTTGGGCATGGGTATAGTGGCCTACTACATTGCACTGTATTCAGGTTTTCTATACACCGCGATAGCGCAAAGCGTGATATAGGGGGATTTCCCAGTGGGAGAAATTTCACGGGATTTCCCAGTGTGAAGTCAAGTTCTCGTTCAATCTCGTGCGTCGAATGTTGAATATGTGGTATCTTTGACTTCAATCAAATAAACTTTTGAATTTTGTTGATAGCTTGAAAAGTTCTCACACCAATGTGACCAAATCACATGATCTGCGATTTAATTGTGCTGTGTGCAACTTTGATTTACAGACCATCAAAGAAGAGATATTCGATCATCAACCATAGTTTTTTGCCAGTTGGAATATTCTTAAACCCAAAATAAAAAAAATTAAAAAAAAGGAAAGTTTGGCACTTTATTGTCAGTTGCCCTTTTTTTGTTGACGCAGTTCATTGTTCCCTTCCTTTTACAAATGTTGCAGGTTAAAGCCCTTGGCATTTATAGAACACTTAGTGCAAAACACTTCAGCAACCCATATCAATTGCGGCATGCAAATGTTTTAACTGGCGCACTCTGCACGCAGTTATAGCTGGCAGTTTCGAATATCCAAATATTTGGTCAAATGCAGTTTCAAGCACTAACCCTAACGTACTTTAATCCATCAACATCCACAACCCTGTTTGGGAGGATTTCGGCGAATCAGGATACCTCCATATTGAAAAAGTTGAGGGATTTTGATAGATTCAGGACATG